AGCATTTGGTGCTACTTGGGGTTTAATAAGAGATTGCTGCATTTGGTCATGTTGTGGTGTCAACCTGAGCTTTTGAAGAAGATCTACACTGGGAAGTGATGTGTTTGAAGCATCTCCTGTATTTGGCAAAGTCATTGATGTTAGGAATTGGTTTTGACCAGAACTTACATTTTGTGTACTGTGGTTCATATCGCACAATGGCTGATTCACAAGTGAAGGTATTTGCTTGGTAGTCTGCTGCATGACTTGCGTTACATTATTATTTGCATTGATATTCTGCAGCACTGGACCACAAGGTGCTTCTGTTGCCAAAGTCGAATTAAGGATAGGACTTAAATGTACATTATAGTTTGGAACTTTATTTACTTCAGGTTGTAAAACTGAAGGTGATGAAGTTAGTACATATGGTACACATTCCTGTGGTAATAAAGTCACAGAGTTATTTTTGAGGCTTGAAGCGTCTAGCTTCCCCAGAGGCTGATGGATTACTGTTGATTGTTCAAATGAAAAGGGTAAAAGCAAATTGTGTTCTCTGCATGAGGTATCAGTTTTCTCTATCCTCTCTGGATTGGAAATGGGAGCTGTGGAGTTTTCCTTTGGTAATGAAGTTCCAAACAATTCTTCCACTGTTAGATGTTTAGGGATGGACTGACATGACTAGGAAAAAAGGTTTAGAAGCTTAGTTTAATATAGAATGCACACGCTCACTTCCTTGCATAAAAATGAATGCCAAAGTTCTACTTTTTAAAACAGATTGCTACAAAGCCATCTATAGCAAAAGTATTATTGTATTCAAGAGAAGCACATTTTCCCAATATCAACAATAATCATCAATTCTTGTCTGTCATTCAATCTATCTCACCCTAAATATATGTGCAACCCATTTAAGGGAAACAATCGTAAAAATGCATACTAATAGGGAAACCTATTTTTAAAAAACTCATAGCTACAAAAAGAATGCAATATACAAATATACAGGCAGTCCTTGACATATGTCCACTTGTTCAGTGACTGAAGTTACAACCACTGCAGCATGCCCAGTCACATGAACACCATTCAGACTATTTACAAACACAGAAATGCTTCAACTCATCCCCACCTGTCTATCTCTACACACACACACACACACCCCTGATCCATGCCCTTTTGGCTTTCCTGCCATGATGGAAGCAGTACTTGGGCTGAGACAAAAGGAGTCTCAGCCAGGTACTATCACCCCAGGCCTCAACTTCAGCCCCAATGCCATCACTGCCACCAATGAAAAATGCTGCGTCAAGCCCTATACCAGCAGTTCTCAACCTATGGGTTGCGACCCCATTTGGGGTCGATCGACCATTTCACGGGGGTCGCCAAGCAAGGCTGTCCGCCTTTTTTTTCCCTTTTCCGGCGGGTGCCTTACCTCCTTTGGGCTGGGCCAGCTGGCGGTCGGCTTGCTCTGTCTCTGCCGCTTGCCAGCTACGCCTCGGCCGGCGCAGGGGGCAGAACCACGCATGCGCGGTGCTCCCGGGCAGGGAAAGTCCTCGACTTACGACCGGTTGGGTAGTCCTCGACTTACGACCGGTTTAGTCCTCGTCTTACGGCCGGTTTAGTCCTCGACTTACGACCGGTTGGGGTCGCGGCATTAAAAAGGTTGAGAACCACTGCCCTATACTGAAACCAGCCACCATCACTGCAGAAAGCCCCAGTTCCCCCCAATGCCAGCGCTCCACAGGACCTGCCACGCGTGGATGACCTTCTCCATTTTCCTCCTATTGCTGCCAAAGCATACACAGTTTGACCCGTCGCTTGCGTAGCCCAGTTCCTAGTGGGCTGCGGCCCGATGGTTGGGGACCCGATATAGGCAATATACACATTTAGAATGAGGACAAAGTAACAAAGTAGTCCTCGAGTTATGATCACTATTGAGCCCAACATTTATGTTGCTAAGCGAAATGTTTATTAAGTGAATTTTGCTCCATTTTACAAACTTTCTACAGTTGTACTACAGTTGTTAAGTGAATCTGGCTTTGCCATTGACTTTGCCTGTAAGAAGGTTTACAAAAGGATCATATGACCATACGAAATTGCAACCGCCATAAATATGAGTCAGTTGCCAAGTGTCTGAATTTTGATCACATGAACACGGGGATGCTGCAACGGTTGTTAAGTGTGAAAGATGATTGTGAGTCATTTTTTTCAGTGCTGTTGTAACTTTGAACAGTCACTAAATGAACTGCTGTTATTCGAGGACTACCTGTGCTTCCATTTAAAATAGCATTTTATAAGGATAAAAAGGCAGATCTCAGAGGATCTGATTTTAACATACATGATCTTGGACTTGTAACATCAGTGTTTCATATTCAGATACTTCTGTACTTTCAGTCTTTGTGAGATTTCCACTTTCTTGGGTCCCTGAAATTAAGTCACTCTTCTGATTCTAAAAGAATAAAAAGGAAAGAAACATTATTTTTAAATTCCAGTTTGGACTGAATGAGATAATTATGATTTATGGGAATACATTCAACAGATTTCAGCAAGCTTTCTTCCTTGGACTGTGATCATGTGACCATGGGGAAAGTGGAACGGTCATTTAGGTGCGAGAACCATTTGTAATTCTTGTTTTAGCACTATTGTAATTTCAAATGGTTGCTAAACAAATGATCATAAGTCGAGGACTATCTGTATACAGATACCATTTCAAGAGTCATCCATTTTTCCCTTATCTTTTTTTTTTAAATAACTATCTTGCCTGATGGCTAATGGTCCTGCCATTGTGAATTCTGGATGTTATTTAGCCAATTGTTAGCTGTTGTTAAGAGGTCTACAACTCTTTGACAGAATTCACACATCACATGGTTTGTTTTAACCAAGGTGCGATGAATAAATGTGCTATCTGGCTCCACACAACACGCTCATACAAAATACAAATTAACTATGTTGTTATATTATGATGAGGTGTCAAACAAATCGCTTTGCTTCCCAAGTGTTTAATGAAACCTTTTATGCAATTTTTCAAAAACTAAAACTAATAAAAAATTAATTCCATCTGCAGAACTACTCTACACTTAGGAAAGAAGAAAACTGTTTCCAAAAAAAACATGCCGACTGCAAAACCATTATAAAATTATCCCAGCATGTGCCCAATGTGTTTTCACACATAAGGCAAAGGTATTAATAATATTAAAATAAATAAATGATTTAGTTTTATGCCTCAAATGATCTGCAAAGTTAACACATTTATTTCAGAAGAACTGAACTGACAAAATTTGCAATCATAGAGAGAAACGTCATTTTTTTTACATCACTCTATGAAGATAGCCCAAATATAAAAAGTGAATAACAAATGTAAGGAAGTAAAGCCAATTACAGTGGTTAAGTTTAACAGCAAATGGGTCTGTACTGTATCATTTCCATTTTTATAAACTACTCGTTTAACACATAGAGCACACCATTAAATGTGGATTGTGGACTGGATATTTCTTCTTGAGGGGTTTTTGTCCTGGCAGGTTGCCACGCATTTTTAGAACTGAGGTAATTGTAGTTCTGTGCTACGTGTGCAGTGTTAGAAAAGGCTTAGAGAAATGTAGATGTAAATGTAGAAAGTTTTTTTTATTACCGCGATGAGTGAGATATTACAAAAGGATTTAAATCAATTGCTGAATATGCATTTCACCATAAACAATATAATATAGAGATCTGTAAACACTGGAGAAGAGCCTAATTCTGGGAAAGATTGAGGGCAATAGAATAAGGGGACGACAGAGAATAAGGTGGCTGGATGGAGTCATGAAGCAGTAGGCGAGAGCTTAAATGGACTCCAGAAGATGGCAGAGGACAGGAAGGCCTGGAGGAACATTGTCCATGGGGTCGCGATGGGTTGGACACGACTTCACAACTAACAACAAAACAAAACTTCCACAGATAGCATGAAATATTAATAGGAATTAGTAGGGACCAGGAACTTGCAATTGAGATCAGGACTGCCATTTGCTAGGGATGTGGTCAAAAAACATGACATCACAGGACACTGCTTAGTGATAACCCAGGCAGTTCCACTTGACATCATAACCCAAGATGCATGGCTCATTAAGTGGGAAGCTGAGGAAGTTCCAGGTAAGGAGTAAAGCCCTGGGAGGATGGGCACAGGCCACACCCAAGCCAGGGAAGGAGGTGCTCAGTGCAGTGTTAGCTCAGAAAGGCATGGGGTGCATGTGTGCAATTAGCAGGGAGGCTGTTGAAAAAGGTCATGGGAGTGTGTGTGTGCATGTATGCAATCGTAGGGGGGCCTTGGGAAGAAGGCACAGGGTGTATACAGTGAGGGAAAAAATTATTTGATCCCCTGCTGATTTTGTACATTTTTGCCCACTGACAAAGAAATGATTGGTCTATAATTTTAATGGTAGGTTTATTTTAACAGGGAGAGACAGAACAACAACAAAAAAAATCCAGAAAAACGCACTTCAAAAAAGTTATAAATTGATTTGCATTTTAATGAGTGAAATAAGTATTTGACCCCTTCGCAAAACATGACATAGTACTTGGTGGCAAGTACTTGTTGGCAATCACCGAGGTCAGACGTTTCTTGTAGTTGGCCACCAGGTTTACACACATCTCAGGAGGGATTTTGTCCCACCCCTCTTTGCAGATCCTCTCCAAGTCATTAAGGTTTCGAGGCTGATGTTCGGTGGCTCGAACCTTCAGCTCCCTCCACAGATTTTCTATAGGATTAAGGCCTGGAAACTGGCTAGGCCTTCTTTTTAAACAAAACAAAACATAACACATATACACACACAGTATATACTCCTCCCTTTTTTTTAAACAGCGATTTTATAATGGTAATCTTCTATTATTTACATTTCCCCCCCTTATTCTTCTTTAGAATATTTGTCCTTGTTGCCCCGTTGTTTCTTATTTGCATTTTTCTTCCTTCATCCACATTTATTCTCCTCTATTATTTCTCGTCTCCAACCAGTCATACCACTTGTTCCATATTAGATAGTACTCTGTGTCTTCCTTTTCTTTTATCTCTTTTGTTAATTTGTCCATCTCAGCACAGTCCAGGATTTTTCTTATCACTTCTTCCTCTGGTGGTATATTCTCATTTTTCCAGAACTGTGCGTATGCTATTCTTGCTGCCGTTGTTATATGTAGAATTTAAGTACCGTATTTCTTTACTATATTTTCTGTTTAAAGGGGCGTTGTCTTACCTGAACGCCTTTTCTCAGCACGGAGATGGAGGATCCACCCATGGGTAGTAGACTGTATTCCTGCCCAATCAGATTAAGTCAGCCAAAGTTGCCACGCCCGTCCTGGACCCTAGATTCCAGTCTTGACGCGAGCGAAGCCATTGACTGACATAGGACGTACTGGCTCAGAAACTAAACTAT